TATATATATATATATATATATATCTCCAGTAGACTGTAAGTTTCTCAGAGGCAGGCTATTTTCTCCCCTTTTCTGTTCATAGTTATATCTTCACTGCTAAGTACAGAGTAAGTGTTCAGTTAAGATTTTCTGGGTGAACAAGTGAGTGAATCCAGATGGTAATGATGATCTTCTAGGTTAGGGCTTTAGCAGTGGAAAGGAAAAGGAAAAGGAGCATGTGAAACATTTCAGAGGAAAGCAGAGTGGAGGGGTTTAGCCAGGAGTTGATTTGGTAGGCTTGGGTAAGACGGTGAATGAGGGCTTTGAGAGGTAAGCACATCCTCAAGCCAGTTGGATTTAAGGAGCATCAGGAAGGCAGGGGGTGCTGGCAAGAAGGCCAGGAGAGTAGGAGGCTCAAGTGTCAGGTTTCAGTATTCTCTAGATGGATCTGAGAGTTGAGGGTACAGGAATAGATGAAGCCTGAAAAGGTGGAGATGCAGAAAGCACAAGAATGATCACAATCCTAAGTAGAAAACACAAGCTCAGTGGAAGAAAGACACAAGCAATGACACTGAAAGACCAAGATAGAACATAAGATGATGCTGCATGAGTCAAAGAAAATATATTGCAAGAAATAGTTGGTAGGGCTGGGGAGATAGCTCAGTAGAATAAGCGCTTGCCTGGCAAGCACAAGGGCCTGAGTTCAATCCCCAGTTCCGCAAAGAAAAAAAAGAAAGAAAAAGAAATAGTTGGTGATAAATGAAGTAAGGCATGAGAGAGAAGTATGGAGGACACCAGACACTAAGAGCTCTTTGAGAAAGGGCCAGAGTAGAGAAGCCAGCTCACACTGGGTAAAAACAAGAATAAATGAGGAAATGGAGTCAGTAGGCATGGGCAGTAAAAAAGCAAATAAAATAATTTCTCCTGAAGGGCCAGGCCAAAATTTTGTCCAGATGATACAGATCTGAGATGGTTGTGGGCTGGAAGGACTACACTGATGAGAGAAATTATGATATAGGAATGGGGAACAAAAGGAATGAAGGACACCCCCTAACAGCAGGAAGGAAGGGAGGGAGGGAGGGAGGGAGGGAGCAGAACTGGAGGCTTGTAGCTTGGCTTCCTGAAGGCCTAAAGACTAGAGGGTGCTGTAGAAATATGGGACACGGTGAGGCAAATCTAAAGTGCTGTGAGCAGGAGGTGCTTGGGCCTGAGCCTCCATCCTCAACATAAACTAGTAGGAACCAACCTTTCCCTGAGAATCAGAGAGGTGGAGGCAAGAAGGGAAATTCTACTGGGCATGGTAGTGCAAGCTTCTAATCCCAGCACTTAGGAGGCAGAGGCAGAAGGATGGGGAGTTTGAAGCCAGACTGGGCTACATAATGAGTTCAAGGCCAGCTTGAACTGTATAATGAGACCCTATAGGTGAGGGGAGAACAAAGGAGGGGGGAGCAGGAGAGAGAGAGAGTTCTTTTTTGTTGGTCTGCTTTTCTTTCTGAAATAAGGTCTCACTATGTAGTTCAGGCTGGCCTTGAATTCTCAGGGATTCTTCTGCCTCAGCCTCCTGAGAATGCTGGGAATAATTATGCCATGTGCCACCATGACTGGCTACTAAAACCTTTTTCTTTTCCTGTGGGGTATGGTGGCACTTACCTATAATCCCAGCACTCCTTGGGAGGCTGAAGCAGGAGAAGCCCTTGGAGTTCAAGGCCAGCTTGAAGCATGCATCAAGACCCTATCTCTAAAAAAAATTATATCTTTTTTCTCCCTTAAACTCTTCCAAATGTCAGTTTGTGCTACTGAGTTTGTGACCATTCTCAGTGGGTCAGGTGGGCAATGTCTGAGTGCAGTACTTTCTGCACTGGCTAACCTCTAAAGGAAAGGATGCCTGGGGAGCTGGTCTGCACAACGTTTTCCACATTCATTGATATACTCATTGTTTCATTGGAGAAGGATTTATTCAGCTTGGTTGAACACACTTTGGTTTCCAACCTCACCCCAGCTTCCCTCCAGAGCAGGGAAAGGGACTAACTAGCAAACTCACCGTTCAGCCAGCCCTCAGAGGCTGTTTCTTTGCTGTCTCCCAGGTTTTGCTTTTCACTTCCGGTGGACATATGCTGTCTCTAAAGGAGCCTCCCTCTGCTACTGAGCCCTTGGGTGAAGGGTTCTGGGAAGGGGTGCAGAGGTGGTAATGTACTTTGGTTTCACCAAGATCAAAACACAGCCAATAAATCAGTAAGCGCATCCGTGTGCTTTTAGAAGGAGTTGTTAGCAGGGCTGCAAAAACTACTTGACAGACATGACCAAGGTGGAGGAAGTTATCACAGAGTGATAACCGCTCCTACCATGGTTCCTGTCCTTCAGGCTAAGGACAGAGACCATTTTTTCTTCTCTGTCTTCCTGCCCAGATGCCCAAATACCATTCCTGGTTCCCAGGAGGAAAAAGACCCTCTCACCCTGCCCCAGGCGCCGAGTTGCCAGCCCATCTGCTGGGGAGGAAGGAGGGGCCAGGCGTTCCCAGGGGATCCTGAAGAATCAGTTGGAAGACCCGAGTTGGGGAGCCCCATCTAGTACACTTAGAAGCATTTCGGTTCACCCGGGAAACTCGCAGGGTGGAGCCGAGCCTACAATGCGCAGGGAGTGAGAGTTGCGGGTTGGCGCCGCGGGGCGGGGTCTTTTGGCCACGATATGTTTGAGGCCTGCTGAGCCGCAGGTCGGTGCCCACCCTCTGCAGGATGGCAGGGGCGCCCCCCTCCCCGCGCCCAGTTCACCGGCTCGGAGGCGCCAGGGCCCCCCCAAGGGCCGGGGCGGGCGGGGGAAGGTAATGTAATTCCCGCCCGGCTAACCTGATTATGGCGGCCTGCACCGGGCAGGGTGGCGGCGGGGGCGGGTCTAAGGCTGGGGGCCCGCGCGGCCCGGGTCCCCTTCCTGGGAAGGACGAAGAGTTCACACTCTCCCAGTTCCAGAGTTCAAGGCCAGAGGTCACAAGGTCGCCCAGTGACTTCAGTCTTTCTCCACCTCCCTTCTCTGGCACGCTCGCGGCGGGCGCACTTTCTGGGGATTGGATGGGGTGCAGGGTCTAGGGGAAAAGAGGAACTGGGCTCCCCCCAGGCCTCCGCGAGCCCCATGTGCTGCCTGGGAGAGGGGAGAGTGAGTGAGAATGGACCTCCAGGTGCAGAAGAGGGGCCGCATCCCACGAAGGGATTTTGCACTTCTCGACTGAGTTGGCCGGCCTTGAGCCGCAGGTCCCATTTACAACGATTTCAGAAAATCGAAATTCTAGGAAACGGCACCATTTACTACTGGCTCGCCCGGACGGGGCCGGGGGACCCTACAGGAGAGGACAGGAGGTGCCCCAGCATCTGAGCCCGGGGCGGTGGTCCCCACCCTCGCCCACCAAACGCGTCCTGCAACCCTTCCCACACCTGTCCTCTTCCTTGGGCCTCCGGGTCGCGGGTAGCTGTTCCCTGCCACTTCTTACGCAGCCGGGAAGCCACAACGAGATTTGGCCTTAAAGGGCACTTATGTCCGGGCCCGAACGAATCCAGGAGCTGGCCAGCGGACCCCATCGGGAGGTGGCGAATGGGAGCTGGGAGGAGGCACCTGCCGAGGATGCTGGCCGGGCAGAGGCAGCCCGAAGGCTGAGGCCAGCGAGGTTGCAGGCGCGGCGAAGTCTCGGCTGACTCAGCTCCCGGGCGCGCCCCTCCCGCTCTCAGCCTGGCTCCTAAAGGCCCTCGTCCTCCGCTGCCTCCACCCCGCACATACCCGCGGCTGCTCAGCGCAAACAGGCGTCCGTTTCCCTTTAACGGCCCGGCCCCGCCCCTGCCCTACCCCCAACCCGCACTGCCCACCCGGGGCCGATCTGTCAGTCATTGCCCGGGCCCTGGCCGGCCAGCCCTCTCCACCCGGTACCCGGGCAGCGGCCCCGCAGCCGAGCGTCCATCTGCCTTCGGACCCAGCGAGGGAGCTCCGGGGGCCCCGGCCGGCCCACTCCTCCGGGATGCGAGTCCCTGCACCGACGCCCGGCAGGGGCGGGCACCCGCGCAACTGCTCCGGGTGCACCGGGAGGCTGCTGTTGCCGGGACCCCCGCGCCCGGCTGAGCCCAGCCCGGCGGGCCCCTAAGGCCACCGCCCGGAACGCACTGCCGGGGTTCCGGAGCCGCCGGGGCGCCCTTCCCAGCCTCGGCCCCTCTGGCGGTCCTCCCTGGCCTGGACCCATGGAGCCCGGGGTGCTGGCCCCGCACAGCCTTCCTCACCACGAGCCAATCAGCTTCGGCATCGATCAGATCCTGAGCGGCCCTGAACCCCCCGGGGGCGGCCTGGGACCGGGTCGCGCGGGCCAGAGCCCAGGGGAGAGCGCAGCGTTCTCGGGCGGATTCCACGGAGCCTCGGGCTATGGCCCCGCGGGTTCCCTGGCTCCGCTGCCCGGCACCTCCGCAGTGGGCCCGGGCGGCGTGATCCGCGTACCGGCTCACCGCCCGCTGCCCGTGCCACCCTCGGGGGGCGCCGCCGCGGTGCCGGGACCCTCGGGTTTGGGCGGCGCCGGGGGCCTAGCGGGCCTCACCTTCCCCTGGATGGACAGCGGCCGCCGCTTTGCCAAGGACCGGCTCACGGGTGAGGTCGCTCGACGCCTCCGGCGTCACGCCCTTCCCTGCTTGCGCATCTTTCCGTTCCAAATCCCGGAACCCTTTCGACCTTCTCCCAAATTAAACCTGGGATCTTCTCCCGACCAGATCTCTCGGTCCCAAGGACAGAGGCCATGGGCAAGGAGCTGCAGTCCTCACTGCCACCCCTGCGCCCATGCTCTGGGCAGGGCCGGGTGAAGCGGGGTCTCCTTTGCCTCACTCTAGCGGCAGGGCCCGCCTTCCCCGGGGCGCCTCTGCTGCTGCGGGGCGACACCTCGGAGCAGCCACAAACCCTGTCCGCTCTCTTCCTCCCGCAGCTGCGCTCTCGCCCTTCTCTGGGACGCGCCGCATCGGCCACCCGTACCAAAACCGCACGCCCCCAAAGCGGAAGAAGCCGCGCACGTCCTTTTCCCGCTCGCAGGTGCTGGAGCTGGAGCGGCGCTTCCTGCGCCAGAAGTACCTGGCCTCGGCCGAGAGGGCGGCGCTGGCCAAGGCCTTGCGCATGACAGACGCACAGGTCAAGACCTGGTTCCAGAACCGGCGCACCAAGTGGCGGTGAGTGGTGGACGTGGCCAGGATCTGGCGGAGAGGTGGTGATGGGGGCTGTCACCTGGTGGGGAGGCAGGCGGGAGCCACTCCCTGACCCCGGCTCTGCCCGTCCAGGCGCCAGACGGCCGAGGAGCGCGAGGCCGAGCGGCACCGAGCGGGTAGGCTGCTCCTGCACCTGCAGCAGGACGCGCTCCCACGGCCGCTGCGGCCGCCGCTGCCCCCGGACCCACTCTGCCTGCACAACTCATCGCTCTTCGCGCTGCAGAACCTGCAGCCCTGGGCAGAGGACAACAAAGTGGCTTCCGTGTCCGGGCTGGCCTCGGTGGTGTGATCTGCGCCGCCAGATGGACCCGGCGCGTGGACTCTGGCGACCGAAGTATGAGAAGCAGCAGAACTTGTGACACCGTCGAGGGCTCCTTGGCCACCCGCCGGCATCCAGGCCAGCAGCGAGCAGATGCCGGCGCGATCCAACGCGGCCTTTCCCGCCATTTTTCACTAAAGACCTGTTAAACAGCTGCTGGGACAAGAGCCCCCCAGAGGGCGGGACCTGCAGGACAGTAGCCAATGAGGTGTGTGTGGGGGGACTTGGGGGGCGGTTGGCCAGCCCGTGGCCTCAGAGGTCTCCGCCAAGCTACAAGGCCAGCAGTGCTGGGCAAGGGGTGGCTGCAGCCAGGGCTGTTTTGGGTCTATATACCAAAGGTGTGAAGGAAGTTGCCCAGGAAGCAGAGGAAGAGGAAGAGCCAGAGATGAAAATCTGGCTCACTGTGACAGGGATCAGAGGGTTGTCCATGCCCAGCATCCCGCCCCACAACTGTAAAACAATTATTAAGGATTCCTTCTTGATTCTGAGTCTCATGTTTTCATGTGGTCAATCTGCTGGGACATACTACTACTTGAACTTCACAATACACCTGTGCTATAGAGCAGAGAGGTGCTTCCGGGCCTGAAGAAAGCAATCTAGGAAGAAAGTTTAGCTCTGGTGCTCTGCAAGGACAAGGAAAGGGAAAGAGGAAATACTGGACTAGTCAATGGGTCCAGTGGAGTCAGGGTAAGCAGAATTTGGTAAATATTTAGGAAGTGACAAACTCTCGAAGAATCAAAGGTCACTTCAAGATTGGATAGGTGGAGAATCAGGAAATCTATGGTGCTGTGGATGAAGAGAAAATTATGAGGTTTGTAGTAAGATTATTATTAGTAGTATTATTTTGTATTTTAGGGAAGGGTCTACAGGGTGTTCAGGGTCTCACTACTAGATCTGACTTGTAGCATCCGCCTGTTTACAGCCTCCCAAGAGCTGGGATTACAGGTGCACACCACCAGGCCCAGTCTCAATTGCTGTCTCTGCATGCCCCAGGGGCAGGCCTGAGGTGATTAAACCCCCAGCCCCTGAGCCTGCTAGCAGGTGCTTTAATCTGCTGAGCTATTTGGCCAGCCCAGTAAGATTAATTTTGTAGGTGAAACTAACTAGAGGAAAGAATATCTGGGGATTGGATGACATCCACAGAGATGGAGAAAGAATAAGACCAGATAGAATCCTCAAGGGAAGAAACTCTGAGAAGAAAAGCAGAGTTCTAGGTGTGAACCTTTCTATCCATGAGATTCTGCAAGCCCTTTTACAACATGCAAGATGATGGAGGATACCAAAGTTCATAGTCCAGGGGCATAAAAGGGAAAGGAGTACCCAGCCAAAAAGGAAGAAAAGAGTGATGCCCCTGAAATTTTTAGAAAGACTTCAGCAGCCCAGTGTGCTGGCACAGGCCTGTAATCCTAGCACTAGAGGCTGAGGCAGGAGGATCACAAGTTCCAGCCTAGCTAGGGTAACTTAGCAAGATCTTGTTTCAAAAGTAAATATTTTTTAAAAGGGGCTGGGGGTAGCTCAGTGTGAAGGTCCTGGGCTCAGTCCTGAGTATCACCACCACTACACACACACACACTGAAATAAAGACTCAATTTATGGATGGGCAAGAGGCTGCCAGGAAGCTTGCTGATGAGTTAGGAGGTAGTTGTGATAGCCTTCATGTTTAAGGAGCTCTATGAGCTGGGTCCAATATTGGGAGTTGGAAAGAATAGGATTTAAAGTAGATGAAGAAAGGGAAGAAAGAGAATCTGTTTAATTCTTCTACCAGCCCTATTCCTTCTTCCCTGGATCCTGGAACATTGTGACAAAGGGAAGACAGGCAGAGCAGTGACCAGCTGTAGGCAGGCTACTGACACTGCGTGCTAGTGACAGCTATGTGAGGGAGATGACACAGGCGTGAGCGGAGGTGGGAGCCAGGCAACAGATGACAGCTGCAGGAGCTGGTCTTGGATCTTTGACATAGTGTGGTCTCTGACTCATGGATGTTGTATATGGTGCTGCAGAACCAAAATAAAAATTTGGTATCATAGGAAAATCTTTTTATGGACCAAAAGGGAGTACAAGTGTGGGTTTGGCATGTGTTGGCGGAATGGGAAGTATGTCAGTTCCGCACCAATAAACAGTAGGAAAGCTAAGGCTGTGTAGATGGTGGCTCACCCCATTCCCACCATGCCCATCCCACTGTTTCTTGGGACTTAGGTTCTATGATGTACGTCTGATCCTAAAGTTTGGGTTTCCAAATGTGGCTTGCTGCTTTGGTGCCAGACTGAAGGAGGCTCTCATGCTATGAGGTGAGCTTGGCTCCACTCCCTGGGCAGGCAGGTCACTGCAGGACACAGGCATTGCTGAGCTCCTGGGCAGAGGACGTTGCTTCGTCTGCTGATGAATCTGCCATTCCTTCCCTCAGCTGGTTCAGGAGGTCTCTGCTCTCACTGGGTGGCAAGTTACTCAGGAAGTAGGGGGGCGCCAGCTCCACCAGCCTACCAGAGAGAGTCAGAGTTAGGTGATCTGCATCTTCTCCTTCGAAGCAGACTAGAACTTCCCAGCAGCCCTTCCACAAGCCCTCTGCCCTCAAGACATATGTTGCTACAGACCCTTACAATCCCTTCTTAAGTCTCCCCATCTTTAGTTTTGGCCCCTGGAAGAATGGGCAGTGAAGAAGGGGTACAATGACTCACATCTCAGGTTGAATCTCAGAAACAACAGAGAGGCAGTTGTCTTTGGATATGGAGAAGCTGTGATACAGCACCCACTGCGGGGGCCTGGCTGGAGCCCGGCGCTGTCGGTAGCAGCAGTACGAGGACAGCTGGGCCACATGCTTATGGGTTAAGAGCAGGTAATTTCCAGTCCCATCTGTGTCTCGGGCCACCTCAGAAGACAAAAATATGGAAAGAATAAATACATAAGGCAGAATAGAAGAGATGGGGACTGAAAAAGAATTAGTAAGAATGGTGAGGGGTTGTTTTTTTTTTTTTTTTGGTACTGGGGATTGAACTCAGGACTTTGTACCTGACGGGCAAGTGCTTATTCTACTGAGCTATCTCCCAGCCTGAGAGTTTTAAAGTAAAGCATTAATTACCTGTAGGTATTGTCTAGTCCCAACATACGATATGGCATTTTCGGCAGTTCTTGAAATTGAACCCAGGGCCTTTGCACTACACCCCCAACCCTGGTATTTTAAGACAGTGTCTTACTAAGTTGCCCAGGCTGGGACTAGAACTTTTTTTTTTTTTTTTAGACAGGTCTCCTTATGTAATTCAGGCTGGCTTTGAACTATGTATTCTAGCCTGGCCTTAAACCCATGGCAAATCTCCTGCCTCAGCTTTCTAAGTACTAGGATTATAGGCATGTACCCCTTGACTGGGACTCAAGTTTTCAAATCTTCCTGCCTCAGCCTCCCAGGTGCTAGGATTATAAGCATGAACCACCTTGTCCAGCTTCTAAGGAATCTTTTGAATGATCACTTGGACTGTAATTTCAGAGGTGACATACTGATATTTATTCCCTCTGCCTTTTGCTCCTTTTATCACCCTCACTCCAATACTTTCTCCTCACTTTGAGGAAGTATCCTGACACCAGTGCTTTCTGAAGGTCTCTGCGATTCTGCTCAGAGCCAAAGGCTGGTTGAGACAAGGGAAGTTCAATTCGCTGCATGAGCTCTAGGAGTTCCCCCCGAAGTTTACGGGCTTGGCGCAACGCTGCCCAATTTAGACCTCGAGCCTGACACCAAGCTTCATCCTCTCCACCTAGAAGACAAGAGACAGCTACAAACAGAGTCCTTCAAACTCTGGGAAGAACACAAGCCAGAGGTCCTCTTTCCCCAAGGCACAGAGATCTGCATTGGCTGCACACCACTGCCCCTTCTGGAAACGCTGGGATTCTGTAAAAGGGAAGGCCGCTCACTTTGGATGAAGGCTTCATACACCTGGATCAGAGAGCTGTGGTCACCGTCTGTGTGTTCCAGGGCCCGACGCAGGGCAGCTTCTTCTGCACACAGTGGAGGACGAGTGAACCCCGGGGCAGCTGGAGGCGGAAGAGAGGAAAGTGGCTTTGAGGAATGAACAGGTCCATAGTATAGGTGGAATATGGAAAGAGCGTGTCACTGTGGGAACTTTATTTAAAGGACACTGATAACTTTTAGGTATTTTGCACTGTTAGACACTGAAAATAAATATAGCCAGCCAGCCCTCCACATGTGGCTTCTGCATCTGTGGGTTTAATGAACTGAAGATTGTATGGGAAAAATTTGCATCAGGACTGAGCATGCATAGACTGTTTTCTTTCAAGACAGGGCCTCCCCCTGTAGTTTGGCTGACCTTGAACTCACTATATAGCACAAACATGCCCCAAACTGCCAGCAACCCACTTGCCTCAGCCTTCTGAGTGCTAGGATTACAGGCATGCACCACGACTGGCCCAGACTTATTATTCCTTAAACAACACAGTATAGCATTTAAATAGTATTCATATTGTGATAGGTATTGTAAGTAATTGAGATGATTTAAGTTATACAGAGAGATGCACAGATTATGAGCAAATGCTGTTCCATTTTATTGTAAGAGAATTAATAAGCATCAGTGGATTTTGGTATCTGTAGAGAATTTTGGAATTAATTTCTCATGGATATTGAGGGATAGCTGTAAATGACAGTCAAGAAGATTAGATTTTGGTGACAAAGACCAACAAATAAGCGATGTGATAAGCATGCTGGTAGGGTAGTCTTGAAACAGAGTAGGGTGGGTAATCCAGGCTTGGGTTATGGCAATGAAGGTGACATGGGAGGCAAGGATGAGGCTCCTTGGGCCAAGTTTTTTTTTTTAATGTATTTGGTATAGGGTCTCACTGCGCACCTCGGACTCATAGTGAGCCTCCTGTTTTCAGCCTCCCCAGTGCTGGGATTACAGCATGCGCCACTACGCCCAGATTTGGTGGTCAGCTCAGTGCACCTGGAGATACCAGGGAACGAACCCTGGTCCCCGCGCTTGCCTAAGCAGGTGCTTAGTCTGCTGAGCTATCTTCCTCCCCCCACAGGTCTATCAACTTTATTGCACTGGTTGTCTTCACAACATATAATCTTTTATTCTGACAAAGACATAACTATGATTCTTCTTCATATTGCATAGTAGTATTCAAACAACCTCACAAGAACTTAATGAAACTACATGGATAAATTACTTTAAATATCACACCTAAGATTCAGAATTTTCTTTAAAAATATTTTTAAAATATAAATAGTTTAATCTACAAATACCATGTACATGAGGAAGAGCTCTGTTCAAAAACAATTTTTCAGTGGAATAATAGGAAGCTTCTCTAAAATTACTTCACTGAATTGCTGAGCTATCTTACCAGCCTTCCTTGGGCCAAGTTTTGAGTTTGAGTAGGAGTTATCTCAGTGGACAAGAGGCAGGGAGAATAGTCAAGGCTGTGGGAACAAGGTAGAGAAGTTAATAGCATGGCGTATTTCGGGAACTGCAAGCTGCCTGGTTTGGGTAGAGGGAGAGATGTGGCAGAATAGCAGGAGATACAGCTGGAGGGTAGGCAGTGGCCAGATGTGCTGTGCACAGGAGCTGCCACTCTGCCTTGAAGGTAAAGAAAACCTGCTGAAGAGAAGTCTGTAAGCAGGAGAGGCCACCATTCAGAAACACTGACAGGATTAGGTGGGAGACGCTGCTGGCATCCAGCTGAGCCGGAGGAAGACCTGACAACAAACTTGCAGGACAGCAGATGAATTTTATTTAGGATACAAAAATGAAGAAAGTCTAGAGGAAG